CCCTTTATTTATACAGGTTAATCCCTTTATTTATACAGGTTAATCCCACTGCGCCTCGGGGCTCATTCACAAGTTTTTAGTCATTAAGTCATACTTTTGAGATGTAGAGTCATAAATCATATTTTTAGTCAATATCTCATAATTATAGCAGGCTGGGTCAAAATATGAGATACAGTTTTGTTATTATCAGAAAGTCTTGTTTTTTGTTGTTGTTGTTGTTTTCAGTGTGGCACAAACAGACTTCCATACATGGGCTTCCCCTGTTTCATGAATCCGAAAGTGTTTTTTTTTTTTTCTCGTGTCTTTGCAGCAGTTTTACACCTCCCCCTGCAGGGCCGGGTTAATGTATGTGCTGCCAAAGACCAACCCAGTCGAGCAGAGTCCAGGTCCGAGCTGCCGACGCTTGGCTGAAGGTTGGAGGTCCTGCAGAGCCCCTGGAGTCCTGAAGGTTGGAGGTCCTGCAGAGCCCCTGGAGTCCTGAAGGTTGGAGGTCCTGCGAGGCAGCCGCACCATGATCCCCAGAGTCCGTGCGTGGAAGATCTCAGCTTTGAGGCTTTTCCAGAAACCATGGACGCGTCAGCCTGGATTACCTGCAGCTGCTCGGTGAGAACAAACCTTCAAACCTTCAGCTTTTCTGTTTTCACCTTTTTCTGGTTCATTAACAATAATTGGTTCGTTAAGGACAACGCTCAAGTTGTGTGCTGCTTCGTTTTGCACTTCACATCTAGAAGAGTTTGCCCCTTTTGGGCGTCTTTGCAGGAACTTTACTGGAAAGATAAAAATCAGCTGGATGGGAAAAGGGGCGGGGCTTAAAGCAGAACGCAACAAAACACCTTTCAGTAAAATATCTCAAAAAGACATGGACTGATTGTCATGAAACTTTCAGGAAACAGTTACTGGATGTTCATCTGCAGCTAATTTACTTTTGGAGTCAACCCAATTCAAGATGGCCGCCACAGCCAGCTGATCTTATGTAACATCTTGTGGAAAGCAGCCTGCTCCTCAGATAAATAGTTTTAACTTATTATTTTTATATTTTTATATATGAATGTTTCTGTTCAGTGCCCTGAGACAACTTCTGTGGTGACTTGGCGCTTTATAAATAAACCGAACTGAATTGAATTAACACAAAAAATGGCTCCAGCTCATCCATTTTAACAGATGTTGAGCTTGAGTTTGGTGTGGTAGTAGCTGAGAATCATCCAAAACACATACTCAAGAGTGCTGCTCAATGTTTGAGATATTTGCTTGGAAATTCAGCAATGACTGTTGGAAGTCCATGTGTCTGTTAGCAAAATATCTCATGAAGCACTGGGTGTATTTTAATGAAAATTTCAGAGATTAATGGATGGATGTGCGTCTACATCTCTTAACGTTTGGAGTCGGTGCAACTCGACATACCACCACAGTTAAACATTAGTCAACACACAAGCGGCCATAACTAAGTAACCTTTACAGATGTTGAGCGAAAGTTTGAGCTGGTAGTAGCTGAGAGTCTTCCCCAACATACTTCTCAGGATATCGTCTGCAACTTTCAAGCTTTCAGCTTTTATTTGTCAACATAAGCTCATCTTAAGACAACGAGTGTTGGGTTAGGGTTAGTAACGTAATATTTTTTACGTTTTGAGTCTGGTTCATCTTTAATTCTGCCGTCAGTAGAAACAACTTCACAGGAAAATAAACGGTCTGTCATGAGATTTATGCAAAAACTTCTATTATTTAGAAGAAGGCGGCAGGCGGGGCTTAAAGTTTCATACTCAACAAAGTGGCTCATTTTTTGATGCAATAAAAAGCCCACATAGGTCTATAAAGGTAAAATCATTTTACTTTTAGTAAATAGGTTTTTCTTTTACTTAAAGGTTCAAAAAACACATTATTTTTATATTCTGCACCGTTTTTTTCAACCTTTTGCCTCCTGAACGACTCGGTCTGCTCTGATCGGTCAAAAACTGCAACGTTTTTGGCTTTTGTTCAAAGCGTGCAAAAATAAAAAGCTTTTTCTGTGGCAGCTGTGGCTGAGTGGTTAGAGTGGTTAGAGTGGTCGTCCTCCAACGGGAGAGTTGGAGGTTCGATTCCACCATCGGTCGCATGTGTAGGGCGAGACACTGAACCCCTCGTTGCCTCTGATGTGTGTCCCATCAGTGCATGAATGTGATCTAAAGACTGGTTAGTCTCTTTAGAATGATTTGATCAACTATCTTTGTATAGATGTAGTAGAGCACTGTATGAGAGTGTGTGGAGGTAAATGAGGCACAGATTGTTGTAAAAGGCTTTGAGTATCTTGATTAGATAGAAAGACATTATATAAGTACAGTTTATTTACATTTATCTCTGAGCACATTTTATGTAACACAAAAGACTTGAAGGTTTACCAAAGTCCACGCTCAGTAATCCAGGTACAAGTCCAACAAAGTTCAGTCAGGTCATCTGGATGGTTTCTTATCATCAGCAAACTGTTTGTTTTTTCCCACCATGGGAGTGTGCTGCTTGTGGGACTCGGTTTGTTGGTGGCGCCTCAGATTGAAGAAGTCCTGCGGATGAATCGTCTCAGCAGAAAAATAAATCGTCCATATAGATAGATAGATAAATACTTTATTGATCCCGAAGGAAATTATATGGCAATCTGTAGCTCTCACTCATACAAACGATAAGATAAAAACACACCAGATAAAAAAAAAAAACATTAAAAAGATCAATAAATAATTTAAAAACAACCCTAAGAGGAGATAAAGCAGCAACTATGTTGGGGACATAACCAGCTAGCTTCTCTGGTTCCTGCCAGGAGTGGCCGTATGACACAGCCTGATGGCACGAGGGACAGACGAGTTCTTTAGTCTCTCAGTAGAGCGCCTCAATGAACGGAGTCTGGAGCTCATTGAACCTCGCTGGTTAGAGAAGGCCGAGTTCAAGGGGTGGCCCCGATTGGACATGATCGCCCTGATCAGAGCGCGTCCTCTGCTCCACCACCTTCTCCACAGAGTCGAGGCCCAGTCCCACCACAGAGCCCGCCTTCTTAATGAGCCGATTCAGCTTTAGGACGTCCTTCTTCCTAGTGCTGCCCCCCCAACACACAACACTAAAAGAAGTATAGTGGACGCAATGGACTGGTAAAACACATTCAATAACGTAGAGCTGATGTGACCTGACTGAACATTGTTGGACTTGAAGGGATAGTTCAGATGTTTTGAAGTGGAGTTGTAAACAATAAGTTTTCTTATCTTAGCACTTTGAACAACCTCAGTTTAAAGAAATGCAGATTAAACTTTACCAAACTGATGAGATACTGCCTCATAGAGTTTTGTTCATCATCCTAAAATGACACCAAAAACTTTATAGCAGTTTATATAAATGCCATTTGATGAACCTTTAGTTTATCGCCAGTTTCACGTTGTGGTATTTTGGCAGAGATATAATAATTTTCCTGCAGGAAGTGCCCCCGCGCCGCACCAGACGGCTGCAGCTAGCTCTGACTAGCCGTTAGCTCGTCAGTCCTAGAATTTTACTATTTTTCTCCAAACAGGTCGTTCAAAGCGCTATCTGCAGCAGGTAAGATATTATCTGTTCGTAACTTTTCCACAGAATACAACTTTAAAAATCAGATCCATCACTTTACGACTTTATTGGACTTGATTTTTGAGGAATCTGTTAATAAATCCAACTTTAACCCCCGGCTCCATGAACTATTAAAAACAAATATGGTTATGTTGTGTTTGTCTTTTAAACAGTTACAGTAAACATGCACAATTATGAAACATTTTGAAGTGTAACTTGGTGCCTGCAGATGAAAAACCTCACAGATAGTAACGGTTTAAAATCGGTCACAGCTGGATGTGGATGTCAACCTTTCACCTACTTAAACAGAATTTTGCTCAAAGGTTGATAGTTCTTGTCCCCCTGTAGTTTGTCTGGATTTGATTTGTTTATTTACCTTTTATTTGGTGCTTAGTTGCACACGAACACATGAAATGTAGGAAAAAAGGCTGAAAGTCTGCAACAAGTCTGCAGAAATCTGTGAAACTTGAGGCTCTGCTGGACGTCTCCCCGCCCCGAGGAAGTGGGGCCTCGTGTGACGTCTCGGTTGTACGGTGTCGGATGTCTGGTTCCTGACAAATCATCCGGGCCTGTGTCCAAACGCAGCCTGAAGAACTTTGTTTCTGTTGTTGGAGCTCCTCTGAGGCTTAAATCTACATAAAATGAGACGCAGCGAAGAACAAAAACCAAACGCGTAGACCAAGTCTGCAAGAGCAAGTCCACACATTGCTGAAGGAATGTGCACCACCCGCCAACTTGCATGACAAAGTTTTAACCAGAGCTCTTGCATGAGCTGTTAACTCTCAGTGTTTGTGTTGGGAATCACTCTCAGCTACTACCACACCAAACTTCAGCTTAAAATCTTCAAAACTGACCGATTTACGACCATTTTTGTGTTTGCTAACGCAGATTAGCTGTGTCGGCCTCTTTGGATTGGCTTGATCGCTTTCCAAGAGTTTATTAGATCCTGTCAAGTGTTTATAGATATTTTGCTAACATGCACACACTGCCTTTCATGGTGGCAGGTGAGAATAAGCGCACGATGATGATGATGATTCAGAGCCATGAAATTAAATATGAAAAATGCACAAATGTAAACACGCAGATGACTTTTTGAAGTAAAGATTGTAAATAAGTGTTCAGAGATGTTTTGATAAGTAGGACGGGTTATTTCGTGTATTTGGACAAATGTGTAAAAACCAGAACACAGAGTGTCGGTGACAACACGTCGTCTAACTTTCGCTTCTTCTCCAGCTTCATCCACGTGGAGCATCCGCCCATCGTCCCCACTCTCACCAAGAGCTACGCCCACGGCACGTCGTCCACGCCGCTGCGCTGCGAAACGGTAGCGGAGGCCCTGCGGAACACCGTGGAGCGCTGGCCCGACAGAGAGGCCATGGTCTTCGTGCAGGACGGGGTCCGCAAAACCTTCGCAGAGTTCCAGGAAGATGTGAGTCGTTTCAATAAAACCTGCTCGTCCGTTAACCCGAAGGATGTCGCTCGGAGGGAAACGGTCCAGACACGATCCGAAGTCCGGTTCTTCTTCACGCTGCTTTATTACCGTTTGAATGCTGAGTCAGCATTTACGCTTTATTACC